TAGTGTTTTTGTTTCCGGGCCCTTATCTATTTCCTTTTTTTTTTTTTTTTTTCGATTTCTCGAAGTTTTTCGTTTCATTCATTAATCCCTGTCATCTTTCTTACTCTCTCTCTCTCTCTCGTTCTTTTTCTTTCGCTTTAATTTCTAGTTAAAATCCTATCCAGTACGACCAAGAGAAAATAAACTAGTTTGTATTTTTTTCGTGTTTTTTGTTTTTTGTTTTGTTTTTGTTTTTTTGTTGTTTTTTGTTGTTGTTGTTGTTGTTGTTTTGTTTTGTTTCGTTTTACGGTTATTTAGTGCCTTTTCTTTCTATTCCCTTTTCTCTTTTTCGTTTCTTTTCCTTTTCGAGAGAAAAAGATTAGTTTGCTTTTTAAATTTTCTTTCATTATACTCCATTTCTTCTCACTCTTTCTTTTATATATTTCTGCTCTTCCTATGTTAAGCCGGTTTCTTTTTTCCCTTTTTCTTCACCTCTCGGCTTTTCCTTTACTTCCTCGCCACGGCCCCCTTTTATCTTCTAAAAATTCTCGGTTCGAATATTTTTCAGCATCTCTATAACAGTCTTCCTGCCGCCTAATCACCATAAAAATCACTTCCATGCCTTTAATATATACAACAGCACACACCAAAAATCATATCTACAGAAATCATACAAAACGACAGCACATTATTGCCCTTTTTGCAGCCACTGGAATCGGGGTGTAAGGATAATTGATGTAATGGATGCAGTACGCAAGATAACACTGAATRACAACAAAGCATCAGTCAACTTTCAGAGCTTACATTTAAGTTTCATTGTCATGAAAAGCTCTTTCGCACCTCCGTAAATTGATCCCCTATCATCTATTTATCGTCGCTTTAATTAGTGACCTGACTTCTGTATATTAATGTTTTGGATATTCAGGTTTTTCATTTAATGGTACCTAGCTTAAAATTCGACAATCAAGCCCAGAGACACGACATACGTCTAGATATTCAACATATCTGTAAGCCATGAAACGACATTTCAAATTACGTCTTTTCAACCTTCTGAATTTTTAGCCATCGCGTAAAATGCGAAATGACGTTATCCAAGACTAGTTAGAGTGATAGAGGGAAAAATACTGATATCTGATTGGGTGGTTTATAGTTGTCATGGTGATGGTATCAACTACCATCTTAATAGCTAAGATACTGAGCTGTTTTTTGGTGTTTCAAATCTATTCAAGTCCTGGGGACAGCTTGGACAGGTTATACGTTTTCAGTCTTCTAGATATATAAACCTGTGTTTATTCAAATCCGAGCAATTTTTGTCCTTTTTCCGAGGATATTGAAGAACAGACTAGACTGATCTTTTTGCGTATTGCAACTGTCTACAGTCAAGTTGGACTAGAAGTTTTAGCGCAGCATTCCCACTGGGCTCCTTAAAGGTTAGATAAACGTTTTGAGTTTTTTGAGCGCTAAAGATGAGCAGCATTTCTACTGAGCTTCTTACAGGTTAGATAAGAGTTTTTAGCTCTTTTTAGTGCCAATGATGATAGAAGAGATGGTCAACTTACTCTTTGACTATTATGAAGTAAGAGGAATGAGTCAACAACTAAAGTTGAATTGAGTGAAAAAAATTGTGACGAATTCCGAGAACTAACTAATTTGAATCTAATATTCTTTATCGGATCTAAATCTCAGGTGAATGATAGCGCTACACTTCCAGTTTCCTCTCACATCTATTAAATCTTCATACAACCTTAAACCTATGCTAATCATAGCAAAGCTATCTTTTCACACCGCATTTCAAAACAACATGAATACAGGCGTGATAGTTTAGCAAGCTTTTAGCTCCTCTTAAAACCCCTTAGCAATAAATGGGAAACGTTAAATAACCTTTCGAATATTTTTTAGTAAGTCCTCGAGGTTATTTTAGCCTTAAATATGTTTTTTTTTAAAGCATATAAATCTTTTTCAGCAATGCCTTAAGCTCAATTTGGAGAGGAAAAGAATAGCTAGAGGTTTTTTTTTACACCTGCATGATCAATGAAATTCATACACGCTGTTTGTCTCCCAAATTGAACTGCGCTGCCGGGGTGTTGGCGAAAAGTGAACCTATGGCCAGTCGTGTAAGTAGTTCGTTTAAGCGAAGGCATTAACACGGCCCATCCGTGTTCCCTTAGCACAAGGTCTTTCTTATACAACCTTTAGGTTCTGTATGCAGTTTCAAAGGCAGAAATCAACCATATTGTACAAACATTCCGAGCCCCTTTGCACATGCGCACAGCAATCACCCGTGCGTGAGCCAATGGAATTTCAGGATTTAAATACTCTTATAAGTGAACTTCGTTTACAGAGAACAGTAGTTCTAGAACAAACAAACAGAAAGCTACAAGAAAGAGAAGCTTTCGAGCAAACAATAGGCGGCATCTTTGAAGGATTGTGATCATGTTTGTACAGATGGTTTCTGTACACTCTCTGGAAGAGTGAGTAACACTCATTGGCAGTAATAGATAGTGTTCTATATATTATACTAGGAGAGTCTCTCTAGTTGTCGGGAGAAAGTAGGACACTCTTCAGGAAGAGCTACTGCTACTGGTACAAAAATTGAACCAGGGTTCCAGTTTAGGAATTAGGGGTGGCAAAGCGCTTTCTAGTGCCATCGCCTCTCACTTCTGTCACTTGGGGTTCGATTCACACAAGTGAGTTGTCTCTCTCTTGATTCGAGTGTTTTCTCCATGTTCTCCGATTTTACTCCCTTAACAAAACCTAACATGCTCATACAATTCTAATTCAATCTGAGGTTGTTTCAGGGTTTAATCT